GTTAGAAGTTTTTGGGAGATAGAAAATATAGAAAATGAAATTATTGAGAGTAAAGAAAAAATTATTTGTGAAGAACATTTTAAAAACAACTGTGCTAGAAATTCTGAGGGACGGTACATAGTAAAGATGCCTTTAAAAGAGGATCCTCAGCATTTGGGAAAATCTAAGGAGTTTGAGTTGAAGAAATTAAATCTGATGTGGAAACGTTTAATTAAGGAGCCAAATTATTTATCTTTATATAAAGATTTCCTTCATGAATATTTAGAGATGGGACACACGTCAGAAATTTCGGATGATGAGGAGGAAGAAGCCACTTACTACATTCCCCATTTAGGAGTTTACCGCCCTGATAAGCAATCAACTGTCCTAAGAGTTGTTTTTAATGCGAGTTATCCTACCTTAGCTGGTAACTCCTTAAATTCTTTGCAATTAAATGGAGGCATAGTTCAGAGTGATTTATTTTCCATCATGACAAGGTTCCGTAAATATGTCTATGCATTCACAGCAAACATTAAGAAAATGTACCGAATGATCTTAATTCATCAAAGCCAAAGAAAATTGCAGCGTATTCTTTGGAAAGAAAAAGAGAAAGGACCTGTCAAAACCTACGAGTTGAATACCGTCACTTACGGTACGGTGTGTGCACCATTTCTATCAACTCGTACATTAAAGCAAATAGCTATTGATGAAGGAGAAAATTATCCTCTTGTTGCTCCAGTCATTGAAAATGATTTCTACATCGATGATGTGTTGACCGGCTCTGATAATTTAACAACTGCAAAGGAACTTAAAAATCAGTTAATTGGTATTTTAGGAAATGCTGGCATGCAACTCCACAAATGGCATAGCAACTGCGCAGCGTTAGTTTCTGATGGTGAAGAAATATATAATTTTACTAATTGTGATGGAACTCAAGTGCTAGGAGTTTCCTGGAGTCCGAAGAAAGATAGTCTTTATTTTAAAGTTACCTGTAGTGCATCACATAGAAAAGACTCGAAGGTTACGAAGCGTTGTGTCTTATCCACAATTGCACGCCTTTTCGACCCCCTTGGATTGCTTGGACCAGTAGTGTCAAAAACAAAGATATTTTTGCAACAGCTATGGTCTTTAAAACTGGACTGGCATGAAGAACTACCTGAGAAACAAGTCCAAGAGTGGAAAAAGTTTGTCGAAGCTTTAGAGAGTGTTAACAACATGGAATTTGATAGATGTATACTTACAGAGGGAGCTGACATGATTGAAATTCATGGATTCGCCGACGCGTCAGAGGTTGCTTACGGTGCTGTTGTTTACTGTAAGTGTGTTAAAAATGGTCAAGCAGCGACTATCAAATTGATTGCTAGCAAAAGTCGTGTATCACCTTTGAAAAGAGTAACCATCCCAAGACTAGAACTCTGCGCCTCACTGCTTCTAGCCAAATTAGTGAAAAAAGTGATAAAAGCTCTTGATTTGCCTATACCCAACATTTACTTATGGAGTGATAGCATGATTGTGCTTTCTTGGATACTTAAGGAGTCATTTCTACTTAAGACTTTCGTAGCCAATCGTGTATCCCAGATTCAAGACTTAACTAACATTGACAGTTGGAGATATGTACCATCAACTGAGAACCCTGCAGACATTATCTCCAGAGGTCTCGATCCTGATAAACTTTCACAATGTAGATTGTGGTTTGAAGGACCAAATTTCTTGTGTAACAGTGAATATCCAAATAGAGACATTCCATCCAGAGTTATTGAAGATGAATTTTCTAATGAATTTAAACCATCTAGTGACTTTAATTGTTTTATTAGTGATAATGGTAATTTTCTTGATAATTTTCTGGAAGTTAGTAATAATTATAGTAAACTCATTCGTGTATTAAGTTTTGTATATAGGTTCATCGATAATTGTCGGAGCACTTATGACACATCAACTGGGTCTTTGTCTCCAGATGAACTTAAAAGAGCTGAACTGAAATTGGTAAGTTTAGTGCAGAAACGGGAGTTCAGCAAGGAAATCAGAGATTTAGAAATTACAGGTGAAGTTTCAAAGCAGAGTAAGGTAAGAAATTTATGTCCTTTCATTGATAAAGAAGGTCTCTTAAGAGTAGGTGGACGTTTGTCCAATAGTAATTTGTGCTTTGACAAAAAATTCCCATTGTTGTTACCAGAAAAACATAAATTAACACAATTGATAATTATTAGTAATCATATTAAGAATTTACATGTTGGACCTCAAACATTATTGTTTATTATAAGGCAAAGATTTTGGCCAATCAATGGCAGATCTATTTGTAGAAAAGTAGTTCGTGAGTGTTTGTCGTGCTTTAAAGCTAAACCAATAACTTGTGATCAACTTATGGGTGATCTACCCAAAAGTCGTGTGAGTCAAAACTTTCCATTTGCCATTTCAGGTGTGGACTTTTGCGGTCCATTTACAATTAAATACAAGAACCAACGGAAAGGTACTTTTCAAAAAATTTATGTCGCGATTTTTGTATGTTTCGTCACAAAAGCGATTCATTTGGAGCTTGTGACAGAGTTGAGCTCTCAAGCATTTATAGCTACATTAAAGAGATTTTTTTCGCGTAGAGGAAAAAGCAGTATTCTGTACTCAGATAATGCGACTAATTTCGTTGGGAGTAATAATGAGTTACAGCGATTATTTAGCTTAGTTAAAAATCCTGATAAGAGTTTATGTAATTATATGAGTCATGAAAATATCAAATGGAAATTTTTGCCACCTAGGAGTCCGAATTTTGGAGGGCTCTGGGAAGCTGGAGTGAGATCCTTCAAATATCATCTGAAAAGAGTAGTGGGTGATAAGAAATTAACTTATGAAGATTTTTTGACTGTAACTACTCAAATTGAGTCCGTTTTAAACTCAAGACCGCTTACCCCGTTATCTTCAGATGCCAATGATTTGAGCGTTCTCACTCCAGGCCATTTCCTGATCGGAAGACCGTTCGCATCAATTGTTGAACCAGATGTAACCAATGTATCTGAAAATAGGTTGAGTTTATGGCACAAAACCACTAAATTCGTGCAATTAATATGGAAAAAGTAGCACAAAGATTATTTGTCAACTTTGCAACAAAGGTCGAAATGGTACATTAAGAAACAAAACATTAAACCTGGACTTATGGTTTTGATAAAGGAAGATAATTTGGCTATATGTAATTTTCCAATTGGTAGAATTGTGGANTTGTGGAGGTCTTTCCGGGAAAGGATGGCAGAGTTCGTGTTTGTAGTATTAAAACAAACAAAGGGATCTTTAAAAGGCCCATTTCCAAGATTTGTTTATTGCCAATTGAATGAATATTTTTTTAAAAAAAATTTATATTACTTTTCATAATCATGTAAAATGTGAAATTTATCGTGTAATAGTAATTGTTAGTATAGTAATATTTGTGTAGTTGTAGTAATATTGTTGATTGTTAAAACAATGCAACGCCCGGCGGTATGTATCCGCACGGATTTGTAGCGCCACCTAGTATAACTTGTAACACTGAGTGAGAGAGAGTGTGTGTGGAAGGAGAGTTGTAACGAGCTACAAAAAAGCTCTCTTCCAAATAATAATAAATAAATATTGTGCAAATATACAGTCCGCTTCTTTTTGTTTATTGAGCGAGTTCATATTTACCTGAGCGTCGACAATACCAATTGAGCAGGATGTTAACAAGACGTACGAGGGTTTCAAAAGTAAAAGAAAAACGAGAAGTCTCGAGAAAGCACGGGGCCTTCCAAAAAAGCTTTAGAAAGGGAAAAAAGCTAATTGAAAGCTCAGTTTTCCAATTAATCTGTCACCGGATATATTTTGAGAAACTGCAGGACGCAAGTGAGCAGTCATGTCCAAGATCTGGTCCACAGTTGGTTGCATTTGGTTTGCGTGGCGTTTATAAAATGTATCGTGTACAACATTAACTGTATAATGAAGAGCTCCATTCTTTCTCATAACAGTTCTAAATTTCCACCTTGTATTAGGTGAACGATTGCCTCGAATAGCCACTTTGTTACCTTTGTGAATGATATGATCTTCAAAAGTATAAGTGGTTTTTCTGATCTTCTCATTGACTCGCTCGACCAAGTCAGGGAGAACAAGATCTGTTCTACTTCTAATGTTCCTCTGGTAGAAAAGCACAGCCAGGCTAATCATAGTTGTCATATTAGGAGCCTTGCAATATTGCATAAAGAAGATTTTATCCTTTTGCTGGGTATTTCCTGCTAAGTTCTACATGACACAGAGTGTTTACTTTATAATGTGTATACATAGCGCTCTGCTTTCGCCCGTTGCTGGATGGTTTGAAATCGGCGCAAGTTTTATGCCTTATGCCATTGCTTCGTATAATTGTTTGGAAATCCAGTGGAAGTAAAATGCGTACCGTTGTCTGAAACTAAAACTACAGGTAGTCCAAACAGTGAAAAACAGTCTCAGAGACATTAAATTATTTTGAACGAGTTGGCTGTCTTCATAGGATAAACTTCAAACCATTTTAGTGGGCGTCAGCAATGAGTAGAAGCATCCTTTCAAATAGAGGTCCTGCAAAATCAATGTGCACTCTTTCCCATGGTGCACACAGAGATATTTCCATTGATGAACTTTTGCTTTTACTGGGTCCGTTTTGAACCTAGCACAATCCAAACGGTTTTTGTTGAATTTTCTATGTTCTCATCAATGTCTTGCCAGGGCGCGTACTATTTGACAAGTACTTTCATTTTTACTAAACCAAGATGCTCATGATGCAATTAATCTGATATTTTTGCTTTGTAGCAGTCTGAAACTTTTTGCCCATACATAATACACCCATCCTTTAAGATATACTTCTCCTTCCTTTTTAACTGGCCTTCATACTGTAATATTTTCAAAATTAAAAGTTTCAAATATCAATTGAATTGAGTGGCTTTTGCTAAATCTTTGGAAGTAAAGGGTAAAGTTTCAATTTAAGAAATTTGATATACTGCAATATCATTCTTTATTTACAGTTCCTGAGATTTTGACGGTGAACGTGATAAGCATGGAAAATATCCAAACACTAAATAAGAAATCAAAATTCAATATTTTCTCAAGAAATTTATATGCTTAGAAAGAAACATTTGAAATTTCAACATAAGTTGCTGTTGTCATTAAGGTAGGTATTTAATTTCAATAGCAATACAATTAACAAAGACAACATTCAATTACAGTGAACTCTCACTTATGCACCGGTGTAAGGGGCCAAGAGAAAAAAGCGCATAAGTGAAAGAGGCGCATAAGTGAAAAACTTCAAAATTCTGAAACGCATCGTAAATTGCAGTGACAATATGAATAAATATGTTTCTAAAGACTAAATGTTAATATTTATACTGTTTTGGTATTTACTATGACGTATGTACAAAGAAAAAATTTAACATACCTTAAGACAATTTATTTTCTTACAAAATAACTTTAATACATGTTTGTATTTGCTTTTGCCGAAGTATTTCAAAAACAGTGTTTTCCAGTTCATATAAATGGGATAAGGGGGAGTTTCAGAAGCAACATTAAATTGTAAATAGTCACGAATCGTGTCTAAAGCTTCCAATACTGCTGTGTGATTTGGAGGAACTTCATCATCCTCGTCAGTATCATCCACCACGTTGTATAAAAGAGGTGGTGCATAAGTGAGAGGTCACTGTATAATATTTATTTCAGATTTATCAATGTTCATATTTAAAAAATGATTTTTCATAAAGATAGTTGCTTGATGAGATACAATTTTTCAGTCAAATTAAGGATTAAAATCCCAAAATTGCTAATGTATTAGCAACCAAAAATATCCACAGTAATTATTTTCAGAAAGAGACTGCAAATAGAAAAAATTCTTCAAAATATTTAAAAACTCAAGTAATTTTTACTTTTTAATTTTAAAAAGTACTTTGATTTTTGTCATCCTAAATTTTAAAATACAATTTCAATAATTTGCTTACTGAACAAAAGGTTTTTTGTAAAAAGTTCAGTATTTTGATATTATTTCAATTTATTAGTAAGAAATTAGAATACTTCAAACTAAATATAGTACACGCAATTGAAAAAACTGTCTTACGGTTGCATTAACATTTCACGAAACGCATGTCTATAAATTGTTTATGACATTAAATTAAAATTTTTTTTTTTTATGAAATAAGTTTGTAAAAATAATTATCACAAAGAAAATTTTGCCAATGAAAATTAAAAAGAAGCAACATTTAAAAATTATAAAATATAATTTTTAATTTATTAGACTTTAAGGGAGGGGAATGTGAATGTTTCTTTTTGATTCCTTCATTGATGCCATACCATAGTTTTCTTTTTTCTTTCTTTTTATTTCTTACGGCAGATTGGAAGACAACTGTAGACAGAATAGCAAACACTAAAATTCGAACAAAAAACAGAGACAACAGTAACAAAACTGAAACTACAGTTAGTCTATAAATCGCTCACTTGGAGAGGCAATTGTGACCAGTAATGAAGCAAAAAGTAGCAACCGATTTGTCCTTTTGGCCACAGTGGAATATTTGTGATTTCTTCTACCCATTTCTTGTCTTTATTTGCCACTCTTATATTACACCTAAAGCTCTCTCTAATCTATATTTTAAGTAACCGCTTGGTGGTAAAGAAAGGAATCGGTTTATTCGTTATTTGATCAATTTTGATTGCTTTTTTTGCCAGGGAATCACAGGGCCGGATTTAAGCTTGGTGGGGCC